GTTTTTTGTTTTTTTGTTTTGTACCAGGTATCAAACTCCTGTCCTTGAGCTTGCAAAGCAGGCTCTGGAACCACTGAGCTAAATCCCCAGCCCCATTATGTGTTTTTATAATTAAATGTAAATATATGTATTATAGAGCTAGACAAAAATAATTTTTTTTTCTTGAGACACAGTCTCACTATGTAGTTGAGACTGACCTGGAACTCACTATGTAGCCCAGGCTGGTCTCGAACTCACAGGGATCCTCCTGCCTCAGCCTCCCGAGTGCTGTGATTACAGGCGTGCTCCACCACACCCGGCAAAAATAAAAATAATAATAATAATTTTAAAAATTATACAGTTAATTTCTTGGATGAGAGTGGGATCTGGGTACCTGTAATCTCAAATTCCCCAGGTAGCTGATTCTCATACAGGTAAAAGTGGAAGTTCTCAACTCTGTTTGTTTCAGGGAGGAAAAGAAATGATCAAAGCATGTTGTATGTGTTTATAGATATGCCAAATGCACTTGTTTGTATAACTCGTACTAATTAATGAAGGAAGTAATTTTTTAAAAGTGTAGGATATTTGAATCACAGGAAAATTGATCTTGCTGGTCATGGTGGTGGTACACACCTGTAATCCCAGCTCGTAGGAGGCTGAGGCAGGAGGATCCTTGCAAATTCAAGGCCCACCTGCACTACATAGGAAGACTCAGTTTCAAAAAAGATAAAAGAAAAGAAAATTGACCTTGTTCTTCAACAATCCAAACTACTGTATTTATGTTTTTATGGTGAGTTTATTGTTAAAGGCTGAGTCATAGTGGGATTTTTCTTTGGAAATTTAGGTATTCTTATTGTCTCATAGCTGTAGTAACAGTTATTGTGAAAATAAACTTTTTGGAGTTCAGAAAAGGAAACAGTTTAGTTTGAAAACTTAATTCTTGTTTTTGCTATACTAGGGCCTAAACCTGGGGCCTTCCCACTGAGCTGCATCCCCGCTCCTTGTTTTTTGAGACAGACTCTTGGTAGCTTGCTGAATTGCCCAGACTGGGCTTCAACTTACCATCCTCCCGCCTCAGCCTTCCAGAGTGGTGGCATCACAGTGTACATCTGGGCTCGAGATAGTTTACTGCCTCAGTTTCCCACATGCTGGGACTCCCGAGTCCCTCCGCTGCACTGGCTGAGAGTGGCACTTAGAATGTTTCAGTCCAGCCTTTCCCGGAAGCCTGGTTTCTGAGGTCTGCTGTAAGGCTTTGGTATCGAGTGTAGAACTTGATTTTCCAGCTCTCAAGGAATGGATCTCACGCATGTTCCCGAGAGTCCTTTGTGGTAGCATCTGGGAACTGTACCCACATTGGCTTCTTGTTCCTTCTCATGCCCTTCACAGTGCAACTAGGAACTCCAGAAACAGCAAGGGGACCTGGGGTGAGCCTGCTAACGTCCTGCTTTGTGCCCAGCAGAGGCAGTGCTCCATCCAGGGCCTGAGGCGGGAGAGTCCAAGGCCAAAACAGAAAACACAAAAACTCAGGCCTTGTTTCTCTTTGTAATTTTCCAGCTCCCACTGCAGGGTGAAGATTTGGTGGAGAAAATCACAATGCTGCCCTTTCTTTTCTTGAAAAAGAGCAACAGGGGCCGGGGATTTAGCTCAGCGGTTTGGTGGCCTGCCTTGCAAGCGCAAGGACCCGAGTTCAATCCCCGGTACCAAAAAAAACAAAAAAACAAAAAAAAAACAAAAAGAGAAAGAGTTACAAGTTAATGATTCTTGCTTCCAGGGCCCCAAGCATGCACTCTACACTGAAGGACAGCCCAGTCCTCTCACTTTGCTTATGAGAGACACAGAGTCTCTGTGTCCTGCGTAGCCTTGAACCCAGCCCCTGCCTCCTGCCTCAGCCACCTGAGTAGTTTTTGCCACCATGTCTCGCTTACTTGCTAGATTGTTAACCTTAGAATTCTGCATCATCTAATACTTGCAATCAAAAAGATCAGCACCCTAGGCTATGGTGTTAAAAATCAAAGCTTTATTACTCTGTGCTGATGTAAAATTAGCCAGGAGCACCTTCGGCTTCCAGAAGCCAGTGAAAAATCCCTGGGTTTTTACATATCCATAGGTTGCGGGGTATTTTCTGAAAGAAAAGCATTAGTGATCTCTTCCTTATGTGCTGGTGACAAATGTTTGAGAGGCCCGAGTCCAGACACCTCGCTGAGCTTTTCCTGGCGCGGGACTGTGACCCTAGGTGACTTATTCAGTAACCAAAACCTGTTCTATTTGTGAGGCAGAAACACATGACCAGTTTATCTCAAAGGGTGGTAGTTTTAAGGATCAAAAGAAGTAAAATGGTAGCTCTTGGTAAATTAAACTATAAAGTACAATACTTACAGCAAGTTATTATTTTTCTAGGAATCTTAAAATGTGGCAGAGTCTATAAATATTTAAGTAAAAATTGTAGCAACTTAATTGGTTTTTTTTTTTTTTTTTTTTTT